TTTGAGATACAATAAATAAAATACGTTTTTGTATAAAGTATCGGTATCGGATCAGTATCGTCGATACCACCCTGAATATTACCACAACATCTAACATGTTGTGGTAATACAGGTAATATTTTTTTTCTGTTTAGATTGAAAAATTTTAACAACTTTTTGGGAGAATCCAATCAACGCAAACCAACTACAACCGAAACCACAAATCATCTGAGAGTTTGCCATGGCAAAGAAAAAACCGTCTATCATCCATAAAAAGCAAGTATTTTACATCATCTCAGTCTGGATATTAACTGTAACAGTCTCTAAAAATACTTTTTGGATTCCAAGTGTAGCACATACAGTTAGGTCCTTAAGTATTTGGACATAATACAAATGTTGCAGCTTAGGAATTACTGCCATTTTTATACTTACAGAGTCATTATCCAAATAATTACAGATCTGACTGTATGCACTGTTTTCCCAGGTTAAGATGAACTCATTCTTTCCCAATTATTTGTCCTGTTTCAGGTCAGACAAGTTAATGAAATATTTGAAAAAGACAAAGTCGGCCCGTTACAGCTGCACGGCTATTCGTACCAAAGGTGAGTTAATGCTTATATAAAACTGGAAAAATGTGATGAATCAATTTTTCTGTTTTTGGGGCGGTTGGACTGAACGTTAGAGGCGGGTATTTTGGGGCCATTTACTGGCAGCAAATTAAAAGTCAGTAAATTAAACACAGCAAAATATCTCTGCTTCAACACTGTATGTTCCATCTTTGTAGTGTTTTCAGTTACCTGCAAATTGATGGATTGTGTTTTTATTTACTGTGAGATGCCAAACAGAATATCTTATTTGTAATTTGGACCAGCCACGTTTTTTAAATAACACGACTTTAACAGCTGTAAATTCACAAATTGTGCCTTTTTTCCTCTCTTTCTTTAGTGAAAAGAAGAGCACACTGGCTCCAGAAAATAAAATCGAGCTTGAAACACAAAGAATATGAATTAAATAAACCAAAAGAAATCAGGATGTTTAATAGCAAAAAAACAAAGATATTATCGTCCTTTCACAGTAAATGCCAATTTAACATCAGAAAGATTATCTTCTTTAAAAATCGCTATAATAAACAAACGGCTTCTTTTGTTTCCAAAACCAAAGGCGATCACTCGACCAAAAGGAAAGACTCATTCCCAGATCAGTATATAACTATCAAGAAACCAAAAAGATCTCATGCACACCCAGACTCCGTGAATCCTCTTACTTCAAACATTCTCAACATATCCGGTCATCAGATCATTTTTTTACCTAAATTTGAAACCTGTAATGATTATTCAGAGATACTGACAAAACTTCAAATGCCACACTTAAACGGTTTACCAAATTTGAAACGCAATGAACTCAGTTCTTGCCGTTTGGAATTCGAGCAAAACATTGAACTGTTTAAGAAAAACTGTGATTTGATTCGAGGATTTAAAAAGAAAAAGAAAGAGGACTGTTATCATCAAATCAAAGAAATGCAGAGAGAGGCAGACAAAATTCCAAGTGTCAATGCAAATACATTTTTTGATTCCCTCAAAGGTTATCTGCAGATGCATGAACGTAAACAATATGCATTGGCCATTTTTTTCATGAAACGCAGTAAGACCGTCTTTGTTTCACCGGAATTTGAGGTAGATTATGAAAATGACACACATACTGAGCCACTTTTATGTCAAGAGGTTGAAATTATTTTGCAACAGCTTGGAACCTTTGTGGAGAGCATTCTGGTTTATACGCTCAATAGTCCTTGCCTGAACTGTATGTCTGTACTCAGTAAAGAAGCGTATTCTTGGCACACAGAATATGGAATTTCAACAACTGTAGGATTCACACAATTTTGGGGATTGAGTGGTCAAGACTTTTTTCAAAATATTACCTGCTCATATACCAACATGTTGGATCCAAAGAACGTTTTTCATGAGAGTACTGAAAAATGCAAGAGCAATCCCTTCAAATTGAAGTCTTTCACGGTCAACAGTAAAATCTTTCAAAATATCAGGAAACTTAGTAAAAAAGAAGAAAAACAGAGCTGCCGTAAGAAAATTGAATCTTATGTGTCTGTGCTGAAAGCACTGGCAAAAATTTCCTTTTGTTCACGTGAAACACATTTACAATGTGGTGAAAACACAATTTATTCTTTCGTATTTCCCCCAATCATCCAAGATGCATGTAGACACAGTCTTTTAAGGGACTGGTTAGTACTGGTGAACGACTGTGCCAAATCAAATGTTATAAAACAAATAACCAAGGATTTTAATGTTGCGGTAGTTGAAGTTATTTACCAAAGTCTGAAGTCCTCTTGTGGGAACAATAGTCCTTTAAAGCTTTGCCACATTCCTCTGAATCATTTAGATTGGGAGGTATATTGAGCATGAATATTTAAAAAAAAAAAGAAAAAAAAAGAATTTTATTGCATAATATAATTGGTTAGAATAGATTATAAATTAAAATTAATTCATTCAAAGTGAATGAAAAAGTAAATACTTAAAAAAAAATTTTTTAAATTATATATCATAAGATATATAATTTAATAGATATTTATATACGTCCAGAGTAACAGCCGTAGACTGCAGTTTGCCGCCTGTCAGGTAGTCAGTAATCCAGGGGAGCTGAACTCTGAGAGCAAACAGCCTGGTGACTGTAGCGTGCGAGGGGCTCACGTGGATCTGTGGCTGAATCTGGAGCTGAGACTGGAGGCGTTCAACGAGGACTCCTACGAGGCAGCAGAGCTGATGCGCTGATCATTAATGGCTGCTCACACCAAAGGTGGGTTGATGAGTTATCAACTGTAACAATATCTTGTAGCTTGGAACAGAAAAATCTCATCTTTGTTCTCTGTCTTGCTGCCTCCTCCTGTTGGTTTGTGTGTTAGTGAGTGGCAGGATTCTCCAGTCCAGTGAGCACAGCTCCATCAGCTGGTGGAGTTCAGTCAACACACCTGCTCTCAACAACCAGCAGTGTGCTCAAACATCGGTTTCTCCTCCATCCTGCACGATGTTTTACACTCCAGAAGCAGTAAATCAGGATTACATCACCTCTCTGTAGAAGGAAACTTTCCAAGTGTCCTTAATTTGGATTCTTGTGTCCTTCTCAGTTCCTTCCTGGTGTGTGTGCTGGACTGGATCCTCTGGCTCTGTGCCATCCTTTACTTAATAAAAATCATTGAAACTTGTGTCACTCGTCTGAGTCTGCATTTAAATCCATGTGTTCTTGTTCTCTGTGTCAAAGATGTGAGCCACAAGCACAAACCAAACTAAATTTAGTCCATAAAGGTGAACATATCAAAGGGAACTGGTTTTAAAACCATAATAAAACAAAAATCCAAATTCTAGTCAATACAAAACAATTCTGTTTGTAACAGATACAATAAACAATTTATCATTTATTATAATTAGCTTGTTAAAATTTGAAAAAAAGTCCAGCACTCCTACAAACTTCCGTATTTGAGCTCACAATAATAAAAACCTGGTATATAGTTAATTTTCACAATACTACTAAAGGTATAAGCCAAACTGAGCACCAGCGCTGTCAAATCTAATTAGTTCCCAGAACTTAAACTCGTTGCCTTGAAAAACTAAATAAGCCTTACTTACGATGACTAAGTTAGGGCAACAAAAAATAAATATACAGTCAGGGGCAGTCCTGGCCTTTCTGATGCGCTGGGCGAACCCTCCCTCTGATGCTAGCTCACCCACTGCAGTTTGTTTTCTTAGTTTCCGTTGTGGCCCTCACTTTGTTAAAGTCTCACATTTTGTAAATAAACGCTTGCTTCCTTACTCTCACACACCACACCATGACAATAATACACACTCTCTCTCCATAGTGAGTACACAAATAGATAACAAACAGCCATTATAATTCATCATACATTGAGAATAGCCGACAAATCAACAATACACCTCTTCCAATTAATGGCTAATTATGCTGAACACACTCCAGATTCAATCAGCCACATCAGTGTCTACTGTCTGTCTACTGTTTACTATCATATCCAAGTGGCTAACAAACGTAAACAGAACCCCCAAAGTTGATTCTGTTCATCTGGACGCAGCGTTTTCAGTGGGAGAAATATTTCGTCACTCATCCAGGTGACTTCTTCAGTCTCAGCTGACTGCAGGTTTCAATCTTATAAACAGCACATTTGCATAATGACTGAAACCAGCCCACTAAAGGAACAATGGGCTGGGAGGTCAGTTCCTTCATCATAATTATGATGATCATTAAAATGCAAATTCTCATGACTATTGTTCAACAACCACTACCATTCACAGAGAGTTGGGGAACGGCTGCAATCACAGCATTGAAAGATGGTGAAAGATGTACCCTTAGGCCCCCTCCTTGATTTAGAGATGGTCTTTCCCTTTTCACTAGAAACTCTAATTATTGCTCCAGACCACATGGTCCCAGAAATTAGACAGCATATCAGCTTCTTAGACCCTTATGTAAAATCAAGCCTTAGAAATCTCGGTGTCATATTTGACAGCTCGATGTCGCTCGAGCAGCACTCTAAGCAGCTGGTCCGAAACTGTTTTTATCATTTACGGAATATTTCTAAACTCAGACTAATGGTATCAAAGCCTGAACTTGAGATGATTATTCATGCTTTTATTTCTTCTCGTTTAGACTATTGTAATGGCCTTTTTACTTGTTTTAACAAATCAGCCTTAAATCGTCTTCAGACTGTGCATAATGCTGCAGCACGTCTCTTAACAGGCACCAAGAGAAGATCCCATATCACTCCAGTCTTGGCCTCCCTTCACTGGCTGCCTGTAAATTTTAGGTTTCATTTGAAAATTTTAGTTCTAACCTTTAGGGCCCTGCAGGGTCAGGCTCCTCAATATTTATCTGACCTGCTGAAACCACATACATCTTCTCGGGCTTTAAGGTCATTAGATCAGAGACTGCTGGTGGTACCGCGCACTCGTTTTAAAACTCGTGGTGATCGGGCCTTTCAGACTGTGGCACCACGGTTGTGGAATTTTCTCCCACTGTCTCTTCGCTGCACGGACTCCATTGATTCTTTTAAGAAACAGCTGAAGACATTTTTATTTAGAAAAGCATTTGATTAATTTCTTCTTATGCTGTTTTTATAGTTTTATTGTTTTACATTGTTTTATTTACTGTTATATTGTTTTTATATTCCCATTTCCTGTGTTGTAAAGCACTTTGTGATTTTTATCTGTGAAAAGCGCTATATAAATAAATTTTACTTACTTACTTACTTACTTACTTACTTCACCTAAATGGACTCCTTGACTCCGCGCTCAAACCAGGGTTCCCTTCTGTTCAGGAAGTGTACATCCTCATCTTTGAAAGAGTGTCTAAAAAAAGAGAAAAAAAAGAAAGAGTGTCCACTGGCCTGCAGGTGTAAATAGACTGCAGAGTCCTGGCCTGACTGGGTGCCATCTGCTTCACCAGAGGTTGTTTGGTTTCCCCGATGTACAAATCCTGGCAATCCTCCACTATATTACTGTGTCGGGGGACGCGATCCTTGAGGAGGAATAGTTTTTGCCGCAGCGTGTTTTGGGGTTTAAAAGCTACAGAGACTCAAATGCATCTCAACTGTTCCGAAACACCTGAACAGTTGAGATGTTCAGGTAGTCATCCTGTTCAGATACAGGATGACTACGAGTTTTCGCTTAGGCAGCGGTTGCCCTTTTCTCCTGGATCGGTTGGAACTATCTTTAGGTGCCTTCGGTCATTATGCAATGTGCTGTTTATAAGGTTAGGGAAACCTGAAGAAATCACTTGGATGAGTGACGAAACGTTTTCCCCACTGAAAACATTACGACCAGATGAACAGAATCAACCTTTTGGGGGTTGAGCTTAAAGCTGTTCAACATCATCATCCAACACTCTAAATGGAGAGCTAAAGCATACTAACAGCTGCTTTATAAGTGCACAGGAGGAAATGGCCAGTGCATGGTAAGTGTAACATGGTGGACTAGTGTTGCCTGTGTTAATTCATCTCCATGTTTATTGTGTGAAGTTGTACTGGTTTGGCAGTGGTTTTGTGTGTCACATTTGCTGTGATGAGGTTGCATGGGCTCAAAATGTGGTCATAAATATTTTGTACTTGTAAATCAGGATTTGTATGTGTAAAAAAGATTTGTGTGTGGACTTAGTCAAAAAAAACCCTGCAAGTTACAAGTACGAATTTTGACCCCATTTTTCTTCCTTTCATCTGATTGGTCAATGTCATGTCAATCACAAATGTAACAATCCAATCAGAGAACAGATGGGTTTGGCTGTCGAGGGGCGCTTTTTTGAACTGCAGGTCTTTGAAAGGAATAAATGCCCTTTTACATGCCAACCCAGCGTTTTCCTTCATCACGAAGAAAAACAGTCTGTGGTCGTCCGAGTTTGGTGATTTTTGTGTCACAGGTCTACGTGTTTAATACAGGGACTTCCACAGCCTTTTCAACAGCGCTGCGGACCGCGGGGTGGGGGCGGGCAGTGTTTTGGAAATGACAGTCTTCATTACAAAGCTTTCTTCATTATGAATTAGCATACATGTTTTTATTTAACATTTGAAGAACTAGCAAAAAAAACCAGAAACTCTTGTAGAGGACATAAAGTCAGAGATAGAAACGACAAGGAGCAGGTGCATCTAGTACAGGTAGAGCTGCTGCAAAAACCCACAGAGCCCAGCAGCCAGTGCAACAAATTCTGGATCCTTTGCTTTTAGTTAGCAGTTAGCATTAGCAGCACATCCTGCGTCCGATGTGAAAGGACTTTTATGCTGCGCGCTGTGACTCACAGCAATGGTCCTGGGTCAGCCCTAACTTTGTGTTAAACTAATCCTAAAGTAATAATGGTATTTCTAACCACTGATATACCACAACTTTATGCTACTGAAAGTTAGGGGACCTAACTGCTATCGGATATTTATATAGCGATCCTCCAGCTTCAAACTGTATCACCCTTCAAGGACCTGCAGTTCAAAAAAGCGCCCCTCCGACAGCCAAACCCATCTGTTCTCTGATTGGATTGTTACATTTGTGATTGACATGACATTGACCAATCAGATGAAAGGAAGAAAAATAGTGTCAAAATTCGTACTTGTAACTTGCAGGGTTTTTTTTTGGCTAAGTCCACGCACAAATCTTTTTTACGCACGCACAAATTCTTTTTACACACACAAATCTTTTTTACACACACAAATCTTTTTTACACATACAAATCTTTGTTACGCACACACAAATTCTTTTTACACATACGAAACTGATTTACACGTACAAAATATTTATGACCACATTTTGAGCCCATAAGGTTGGACCAACTGAAGTAAAGTGTATTTGATTACACTGATATTCTAATCTACTTATAGCCCACACTACAAACACTGCTGTGATATTTTGTCTCTCTGTGCAGGTATGTAATATGACCAAATCTAGGATGACCTGATATGTTTATGATGGATAGTTTGTTACTCTGTTATCCTACTACATGCTGCAGCCTAAAGGCAGAGTTGAGTTGCTGAGGCCGGAGTGATTACTGGCCTTCTACTTACAGGGTGGTGGGTCCTGGAAGACAACTGCTGATTCCTGTTAAAGTGGTCGACATGTGAAGTGCAACTGGCTTGTGGCATAGCTGGCTCTGGCCTTGGACTGTGTGTTTTATTTTGTACTCAAGTGGGACACTGGACTGTTTAATACTTCATTTTTGGATCATTGTATTAAGATATTATCATTTAGATTTTATTGACTGTCATCTTTTGCCCACGGCTGAGACAGTTGGTCACATTTAGAATCTGGATGTGTTACATTAGCATTTTAATGGTTTTTACATTTACATTTTACATTTCTTTGGGCAGCACGGTGGCACGGTGGTTAGCACTGTTGCCGCACAGCAAGAACGTCCTGAGTTCAATTCCACCATCAGACTGGGGTCTTTCTGTGTGGAGTTTGCATGTTCTCCCTGTGTTTGCATGGGTTCCCTCCGGGTACTCCGGCTTCCTCCCACCATCCAAAGACGTGCAGTTTGTGGGGATAGGTTAATTGGATAATCCAAATTGCGAATGTGCGAGTGAATATGAGTGCGAATGGTTGTCTGTCCCTGTGTGTTGGCCCTGTGACAGACTGGTGACCTGTCCAGGGTGTACCCCGCCTCTCGCCCTATGACAGCTGGGATAGGCGCCAGCACCCCCCGCGACCCTGAAAAGGATAAGCA